TGAAAAAGTGATTGCCCCCCCTGTTAAAACATAAATCAACTGTGGTTTATCACATCTTTGGAAAGCTGAGTTCAATTTCTCTAGCCACACCCAGGGCTGATTACTGCCACACCTGTTCTCAATCAAGAAATCACTTAAATAGGACTTGCCTGACAAAGTGAAGTAGACCAAAAGATCCTCAAAAGCTAGACATCATGCTGCGATCCAAAGAAATTCAGGAACAAATGAGAAACAGCGTAATTGAGATTAATCAGTCTGGAAAAGGATATAAAGCCATTTTCTAAAGCTTTGGGACTCCAGCGAACCACAGTGAGAGCCATTATCCACAAATGGCAAAAACATGGAACAGTGGTGAACCTTCCCAGGAGTGGCCGGCCGACCAAAATTACCCCAAGAGCGCAGTGACAACTCATCCAAGAGGTCACAAAAAAACCCACAACAACATCCAAAGAACTGCAGGCTTCACTTGCCTCACTTAAGGTCAGTGCTCATGACTCCACCATAAGAAAGAGACTGAGCAAAAATGGCCCGCATGGCAGAGTTCCAAGATGAAAACCACTGCTGAGCAAAAAGAACATAAAGGCTCGTCTCAGTTTTGCCAGAAAACATCTTGATGATCCTCAAGACTTTTGGGAAAATACTCTGTGGACTGACGAGACAAAAGTTGAACTTGGTGTTGGAAGGTGTGTGTCCCATTACATCTGGCGTAAAAGTAACACAGCATTTCAGAAAAGGAACATCATACCAACAGTAAAATATGGTGGTGGTAGTGTGATGGTCTGGGGCTGTTTTGCTGCTTCAGGACCTGGAAGACTTGCTGTGGTAAATGGAACCATGAATTCTGCTGTCTACCGAAAAATCCTGAGGGAGAATGTCCGGCCATCTGTTCGTGACCTCAAGCTTAAGCGCACTTGGGTTCTGCAGCAGCACGATGATCCAAAACACACCAGCAAGTCCACCTCTGAATGGCTTAAGAAAACAAAATGAAGACTTTGGAGTGGCCTAGTCAAAGTCCTGACCTGAATCTGATTGAGATGTTGTGGCATGACCTTAAAAAAGCGGTTAAGGCTCGAAAACCCTCCAATGTGGCTGAATTACAACAATTCTGCAAAGATGATTGGGCCAAAATTCCTCCACAGCACTGTAAAAGACTCATTGCCAGTTATTGCAAACGCTTGATTGCAGTTGTTGCTGCTAAGGGTGGCCCAACCAGTTATTAGGTTTAGGGGGCAATCACTTTTTCACACAGGGCCATGTAGGTTTGAATTTTTTTTCCCCTTAATAATAAAAACCTTCATTTAAAAACTGCATTTTGTGTTTACTTGTGTTATCTTTGTCTAATATTTCAATTTGTTTGATGATCTTTCAGTGGGAACATTTCAGTGGGAAAAAACACTTTTTCACACCACTGTATGTGTATAATATATTTAAGGATCAAATACATGTAGATAATGTAATGACTTCGGGTTCACTCAGGATAAATGACAAGAGGAGACGGTGTAGGCACACAAGCACCTGCTTTTATTTCCTTTTACACAACAAAGACAAAAATACAGGATTTACATACAGATTAGGGGACAGACGGTACACGTTAGGGTGGTAACTCTTTAACTGACTCTACAAACTTAACTTATGGAACACTAAGCTTCAGAGAACACGTTAGCTAACGCAGGTCTATTCACATAGCAGGGTCAGTTGCTGGTCATCTTATGGACCCCCAGACATCCCCTGGCTACAACTCCCAGCTGGTGAGGCAATACCCTCAGCAACTTGGTGCACTTCCTCCTCACCACCGGGCAAGGGCGCTACACTTCCCCCACTTGACTCATACCAGGCTGTACTCATAGTCAGCTAATGGCTGTGGAACCCTGTGTGAGCGGCCGCTGCACCGCAGAGCGGATTCCCCATAGTCAGCCTCCCTGCCGACCTAGTAGGGTACCAGGTGGTCTCGGTGTAGGACCACCACTCTCCCCCGCTTTCGCAACCGGACACGGTGACAAACCTTGCCCACTACCCCTAGGATCTCAGCGGGTCACTCCCAGGACAGTGCCACCCCGGACTGGAAGGCAGGCCCCCTGCAGAGCAGATCGTAGTGCCACTTTTGCCAGATCCCTGCCTGAGTCAGGTGAGTTCGAGCAAAGCTGTGCACTCGCCACATCCACTGCTGTAGGTCCCACATCGGTCTGGCCGGCAGTGCTAGCCCATCTCAGGGCGGGGGAATCAAAGGCCAGATCACATCTCCTGGCCCAGCATGAGCGAGGCCATGGTGCACCAGGTAGATTTCTGGACCGCAGTCCGGTACGACTAGAGCACAAGGGGGAGGTGGCGGTCCCATTCCTACTGATGCTGGGACACCAGGGTGACAAGCTGGGTGGCAAGCATCCAGTTGAACCGCTCCAGCAGCACATCACTCTGGGGATGCAGTGGGGTGGTCTGTGTCATAGAGATCCCCAGGTGCTGGCACACCCTGCCAAAGACCTAGGACTAGGAAAGTTACACCCCTGGTCACTGTATAACTCCTCCGGTACCCCCAGCCTGGCAAACATCCCTCCAGTGAAACATCGGCAACCGTAGGGGCACTTTGGTCTGGGAAGGCATAGGCCTTAGGCCTCTTGGTGAATAGTCCACTTTCACCAGGACGTAGCAGTTCTCACACTCAGTACATGGAAACGGGCCCAAAATATCCACCCCTACTCGCTTTATCGGAGCCCCCACCTGGTGTTGTTGGAGGGGGGCCCCCACTTGCTGCAGCAGGTCCAACCCCAGGATGCAGTCCTCTTGAATGGGTGCTAGGTAGCAAGGGGGGCACACTGTCGCTGAACCCAGACGGATGGAGAGTGTCTGTTTGCCCCGGATCGCGGCAAGCTGTCCTGTCATGGTCCTCAGCCGCAGGTCGGTGGCCTCCCATCCTGGGGGATTGGTGCCCTCGGTGTCGGGGAAGAAGCCAGGCCGGGGTAGGGTTACCGATGAACTGGTGTAAAGCAGGGCCAGGCAGTGCTGGTCCTCGATCTGGCAGTGGAGGTACAGGCCCCAGCTACATTCGACATGCCCCATGGTGGTGTACGGGGCACCAGTCTTCGCGGTGCTCTCTGAATCGGGGGTTGAGGTCTTCAGGGGTGGCCGTCCCTATGCTGAGCCACCCTGCTCCCATTTCCTGACGCCGACCTCGGAGTGCAAAGCTCTGGGGCCCGGTGTCCCCTCTTCACACAGTATCGACAAAACAGCTTGCGGGGCTGCTCTGCGTGGGTTACTGCACGAGCTGGCTCCTATTCCCCCTCACTGGACTCCTCTGTCGCTGCCTCGGTAAGCCAGCAGGGCACACTCCATCTGCTGGTGCTGCCAGCCCCACCGAACACAGCCAGCTGTAAGTGGGGCTGCAGCTTTTCGGGTAAGAGGGCCTTGAGAAAGGCCTGGAGAGCCATTTCCAGCTGCGTCTCCCGGGGGAATGCTGGGTATCCTCGGCAGGTGAGGAAGAAGACATCAGCTACGACCGAGCCCACTTGCTTTCCCAGTCAGCGCCGCCACAGGGTCAGCCTCTCCTGTATCAGGTCCGGTGCCTCCTCCACCCCGAAGCGTAGCTGGAGAGCGTTGCATAGTCAACCCCCCTCCTTCTCTGGGAAATCCAGGAGCACCTGGCAGGCTGCTCTTTCCAGCGCCGCCGCCAGCTCCGTCTCGGCCCGCAAGCTGGAACTGTGCCTCATACGTCTCCCATGACGCTTCCCCATCAAAGCGACTGGGTTGTACAGGAACACCTTCCTCAGGGGCATCCCCTCTCTGCAGCGTCTGCTGGACAGGAGTAGTGGGGATTCACTCCGCTTCCCCAGGCGGGGCCACAACTGGGCAGCCCTTCCAAGGGCTGTGGCCAACCGTTGCACCCAGGAGTTGCTCAGGCTCCAGGTGTTCGCTGATGCTGGGTCCGGTTAGGGTCTGCTGGCGCTTGACAGAGTCTGCTTACATCTGCCACGGGTTGTCCATCCTGCTCGCTTCTGACACCAATTGTAACGACTACAGGTTCACTCAGGATAAAGGACAAGAGGAGATGGTGTAGGCACACAAGCACCTACTTTTATTTTTTTTTCACAATAAAAACCAAAAACTAGGATTTACACACACACATTAGGGGACTGATGGTACACATACACAGGTTAGGGTGGTAACTCTTTAACGGACTCTACACAATTAACTTATGGAACACTAAACTTCAGAGAACACTTTAGTTAACATAGGTCTATTTAAATAGCAGGATCATTTGCTGGTCATCTTACGACAATTCCCGGCTACAGCTCCCAGCCAGTGCTGTGATATCCTCAGTAACTGGGAGCACTTCCTCCTCACCACCGGGCGAGGCTGCCACAATAATAACTATTGCAGTACTGTTATGTACTGTACACTAATAATTCAAGGTACTGTGATTGTTTCACTTGATCCAGCAGCATGAATGAATAGCTCTTATATTTACTGGGGGGTTGTGCATTGTAGGTTTAGGACTAAACTGGGGCATTCTTTTGCTCTTCAGCCTGCTTACCACTACAGAAACCCTGAGTAAGTTCTGGCCCTATAGAACACTTACTTTTGTGAAGGTTTGAATAAAACAAAGGTTATCTGATTAGCATTGTTTTGCAATGCATTCGTTTTGCATCCAACTGCGTTTTGCAATGCGATGAAACCAAGCACTGTGTGCAAATAATTGTTAGAGTTCATACATCACTGTTTTGAATATATGTCAGTTTTACTAATAGATGACCTTCATTGTAATTATTTTTCCCGGTTATTTTTAATGTCGTTGAGTCGTGTATTTAACGTAGTCTAAATGGTTGTTCACGAAAGACGACTAGTTATAGCTTTCATTATTCTGAATATTACGAATGGTGTATTCTTTGCTCATAATTCTCCATTACTAATTAACTTTTGAGTCTTTAACAACCTGACATTTACATTTATGAAGGGGATAGGACTTCCATCCTTCCCTCTTCGGAGAGTAGAGCAGCTTATGCGCCAGCTCTGTCGCCTTTGCTTTTCCTTTTGCATGGGTGGGAGGAGCCGGTTTCCTGCGATTGTCTGTCTCTTTTTTTTTCTCTGAAGTTGCATATTCAAAACCTTAGCCTTTTCACTGAGCAGCCAGTGTTTGTGCTGCTAACCAGCAGATCAGCAGTCAGACTTGTTCTTGCTACGCCACACGGAGACTGCGTTTGTGTTGCTTTCCTTCCTGGCTAGGAGCTCTCCTTCACTGCGTTTTTCTCCAGGCTTCAAAGATGACAGGGGAAAGGATTGTTTGGCATAGTAAGCTGGTAGGTGACTGTTAGCCCTCCCTTCAGTGTGTGTCTCTTCTTAGTGTTTCTGGTTCGTGTCAACACTCTTTTCCTGAGAAAAGCCAAGAGAGAGTGAAGCAAAGACAGACGTTTAGATGACTGCGTAACCAGTGAAAGAGTATACCAAATACTGGAGCAATTCAAAGCATATTTCGGTTCTGATAATATACGAGGAAAATAATCATATATTATGTACTATATATACGATATATAGCATGTACTATAAAAATGCCAAGCATTGCTTGATTACCTGAAGACAGACTTACATTTACTGAACTTTTTCTTTCATTCTGTAATGCATTCTGTCGATGACTGGTAACAATGTAAATTATTTTTTGGGTTGGTTTGCAATGTCTTTTTCCTTAGCGATGTTTAATGTTTAGCACTTCTAAATGTTAACATTTAACTGCACGAAAATAGAATTATAGTAACTTGTTCACGTTTAAAAATAATAACTGAAAAAAACTGCTGGGTGGGTTTTAAGGCAAATGCACGGCTTTATCATGAGACGAGGTCATTGTGTTGGTGTAGATTTTCTGTAATCGCCTGTACGCCCAGATGTGTTCCACCTTTGTGCCTCTGAGAAATTGTAGTATCAAAGCTACGGTTTTTGAAAATGATGTCGCTGGTGTTTTGTTCACTTCATTATAAAGGTAATGGCAAAGGATACATGTATTTATTTCCTCCCAGAAAAGACTTGCAGATTTCTGTCAGTGATTACACCGATGTAAACTAAATTATATAAACATACAGTATCAGTGTTTTCGTGTGACAGTTACAATAATGGCAGTATGATATTGTGAACATTTTATATTTAGCATTCACTCTTGACGCGGTCTCGGTTTTCATATTTTTCCTTTTAAAACACCCTTTAGATTTTATGTAATTAATTTTTATTTAATAATCGAATAACGTTATAAGACGGCAATGATCTTGTTAACATTTGTGGTAAAATAAATTGGTTCATTTTGTTCCCGTAACAAGTTTCTGGAGGTTAAGTGTTTAATTGTTAAGGACTTTAATAAAGATTAAACATTAAGAAAAATCAGTACTTGAATTAGTTCATCATGATCAACTTGAGATCGAAACATTTTAAACGAGTGACATACTAAAACGAATAACAAAATTGAATGACCATAGACTATAATGGGGAAAAAATAATTTAATAGGCTATAAGCCTTAACAGAAATAAAACCATGATTATCTTTGCTATTAAGTATTCCAATACTTAGAAAATCCTAACTAAATAAAAAATTGATTGATTGATTGTTCTTTTCTAACGAATGACAAGGGAAACAAAAAAACATGAAAAAGTTAACCTTTTGAAGAAAAAAATCATATACAGAAAAAAATAATATTCTTACTCAAATTGCAAGTTCATAAATATATTTTCTATGAAATATCCTAATGTAGAAATAGTTATTTTCTATGGAATGATGGGTATTTAAAAATATGTGTAAATGGAGATGGAAACAATGCTGAAAATATCTGGAACCATCCAGATTCTGAATTCCATTAATATTAATTGTTTGAAACAAATGTTTCTTGAATAAGAAGACCTTTATTTTTTATTAAAAAATTTAAAGCTATTAATGACATAATGGTTACTACCGAGTGCCTGCTTTTTTTCTGTGCAATAAATTATTCCAACAAGGAAGATAAAGGTCTGTCCAAATAATAAGACTTATATAACAAAAGACATTAACATGCCACAAATATGAGGAAGCTTGCTTTTAAGAATAAAGATGTTGATGAAATAAAACAAGACTAAAAAATAACAAATGGAGAATCTTAGGCAAAGCACGCATTTAAGCAGCATTTGGAGGATGTTTTTTTTTTAAAGCTAATAGCTGTAGAAGACTCTGGGAAAGAGTATGGCAGGAATGTCTGCACTCAGGAAGCTGATTGTGAATAGTAAGTTATGAATGCTTTTCTGTCAGGGTGTCTCGGAGCAGGTAGTTGTCCGAGGATCCTATGCATAGCTGTGAGCTCTGCCGGTTTAAGAGGTAAACAATCCAAAATCGTAATCCAAAAAGTGAGATCAAAAGGGAAAAGTCAAATCCAAAAGCCGAGTAAGCCAACAAGAAAATACCGTGCACTAGAAAACTTAAGAGGCCTTACAATAGTGAGCGGGGTTTGGTGAAGGAACTTTAAATACTGAAGGGAGAGGAACGTGGTTGTGTAATGGGTTCAGGAGTGAGAATCTGTGGAATCTGGTGCCTGTGAGAATGTGATTGGTTCAGTTAGGAGTGAGAGCATGAAACAGTGCGTTTGGGAATGTAGTGGGGTTTGTGAGGGCGAGTGCGGGATGTGACAGTATCCCCTTTTAGGGTCGGCTCCTGATGACCCCATTGAGCGTTCATGGAAGAAGTCATCAATGAGGCCATGATCCAAAATATCTCCCTCGTAAACCCATGAACGCTCCTCAGGGCTATAGCCCTCCCAGTCGACAAGAAACTGCCCTCGGCCCCGGAGCCAGTGGGTATCCAGGATCTTGTTAACTGTGTAAGAACGTAGGCCGTCAATGATTTGTGGAGGAGGTCGAGGTTGGGAGAGGGGAGATCTGTGGTAGGGTTTCAAGAGAGAAACGTGGAAGGAGGGATGCACCCTGACAGTTGGAGGGAGGGCAAGACGATAGGTGACAGGGGTGATCTGGGAAAGGATGTGGAAGGGTCCAATATAACGGGGTCCCAAATAATGTGAAGGTTGCCTAAGGGGTAAATTCCTGGTAGATAACCAGACGAATTGTCCTTGTCGTAATCTGGGCACAGGTCATCGATGATGATCAGCGGTGGTCTTCTGTCTCAGAGAGCATTTCAGAAAGGAGGATCTGGCATGCCTCCAGATCTTTTTTAGAGAGGTAAGGCGGGTTTGGAGGGAAGGAATATCCGAGTAGGGAACAGAATCTGAGAGAAGGGAGGGTTGGTATCCCAGGAAACAGTAGAAGGGGGACATTCCAGTCTTGGAGGAGGAGAGTGAATTATGTGCATACTCCGCCCATGGGAGAAGAGAGGTCCAGTCATCTTGTGAAGCCAATATGTAAGTTCGGAGGTAAGTGAGGAAGTCTTGGTTGGTTCTTTCTTTCAGGCCATTGGCTTCAGGGTGATAGCCGAATGTAAGAGATGTGGAAGTCCCTAGAGATTTCCAAAAAGCTCTCCAAAATCTAGAAATGAATTGAGGTCGCCGATCCGATACTATGTCTGCAGCAATACCATGAAGTCTGAAGATGTGAAGAACAAAGAGATCAGCCATCTCGTGAGCGGATGGAAGAGCAGGAAGGGGAATGAAATGCGCTGACATGGAGAATCTGTCTACCACAACCTTGTAGTCTTTCCTTAACTCCTAGGGAGATCCGTCAGAAAATCCACCGAGATGTGGGACCACGGTCTTCTAGGAATCGTAAGTGGCTGAAGTAGACCGGCCTTCTTGAGATGAGAGGATTTTGCACTGGGACCGATGCACGAAGCCTGCACGAACCCAATAATGTCGGTCTTCATAGAAGGCCACCAGAAATATCTAGAGATTAATTCCAGGGTGCATTTGACACCTGGGTGACCTACAAAATGCAAGTCATGACCCCAGTGGAGAACCATAGATCAAACTGAGTCTGGAACAAAAGTCTGTCCAAACGGCACTGGGGAGGAACGCTTTGGTTCATAAGTGCATGTTTGATCTGGTCCTCCAGATCCCATCTAATTGCAGAAATGAACTTCTCAGGGGGTATAACAGGTTCAGGAGGATCTACAAAGTCAGATGGATCATGGAGACGAGATAGGGTGTCAGCCTTTACATTCTTGGACCCTGGTGTATAAGTAATGAAGAAGTGGAATCTCGAGAAGAAAAGCGACCAGCAAGCCTGGCGTGGGTTTAACCGTTTGGCAGCCTGCAAATAAGAAAGATTTTTATGGTTTGTGAGGATAGTGAGAGGGTGTTGGGCCCCCTCCAATGTCGCCATTCCTCCAGGGCGAGTTTGATAGCCAGGAGTTCCCTGTCTCTGACATCGTAATTGACTTCAGCCCGAGACAGCTTCTCGGAAAAAAAGGTGCAGGGGTGGGGAATACCCTTCTCTCTGTGACGTTGGGATAGTTCGACACCGACAGCGTTGGCTGATACATCTACCTCCAGAACAAAGGGGAGGTCTGGATCTGGATGACAGAGCAGAGGAGCTGTAGTTAAAAGTTTCTTGAGGTGAACAAATGCTCGGTCTGCTTCAGAGTCCCATTTGCCTCAGTTAGTGCTTTTTTGAGTCAAGGCAGTAATCGGGGAGACGATAGAGTTGAATTCCTTATAAAGTGGCGATAAAAATGAGCAAATCCCAGGAAATGCTGAATTTGTTTTAAATTCCGGGGAGTAGGTTAGTTCTGAATGGAGTCGGTCTTGGTAGGGTCAATCTCAATGCCCATTGGTGAGATGATGTAAACAAGGAAGTGAATTCTGGAAACATGGAAAGTACATTTGTCCAGTTTTGCGTAGAGTTTGTTCTTTATCAAACAGTTGTACCTCACCCACATGGGAGATGTGATCCTGAAGACTGCTGGAAAAAATGAGAATGTTATCCAAATACACCAGGACAAATTTGTGTAGGACATCCCTAAAAACGTCATTCATGAAGCCCTGAAAGTCAGCAGGAGCAATTGCCAACCCAAAAGGGATTACCTGGTACTCATAGTGACCATGGGTTGTTATGAACACCGTTTTCCATTCGTCACCCACTCGAATGCGGATTAGGTTGGAAGCTCCGCGGAGATCCAATTTGGAAAAAATAGTGGCACCTCGGAGTGATTCCAGAGCTGACGAGATTAAAGGAAGGGGGTAATTATTCTTGATTGTTATATTATTTAGAGCGCGATAGTCAATGCAGGGCCTGAGGGACCCATCTTTCTTTAAAAAAAAAAGAAACCAGCGCAGACAGGTGAGGAAGAGGGGAGAATGAAGCCAGAGCTTAAAGATTCCTGAATGTAATTCTACATAACCTGCGT